TTTTACCTTCTTTTTTGGGGACCAAGTCTTTGCATCACAGATCAAGACTAAGGAAGAGATTGTTTGGGTGACACCAACCCCTTAAAGGGCCAGCTTTAAGTCTCCCATCTCTTGTACAAAGTCAAACACCCGATCAGCGCATAAAGACAGTCTAGTGTCCGAAAAAGTTTAACCTTCTTTTTTAGGGACCAAGTCTTTGCATCACAGATCAAGACTAAGGAAGAGATTATTTGGGTGACACCAACCCCTTAAAGGGCCAGCTTCAAGTCTCCCGTCTCTTATACAAAGTCAAGCACCCGATCAGCGCATAAAGACAGTCCAGTGTCCGAAACAGTTTTACCTTCTTTTTTGGGGACCGAGTCTTTGCATCACAGATCAAGACTAAGGAAGAGATTGTTTGGGTGACACCAACCCCTTAAAGGGCCAGCTTCGTGTCTCCCATCTCTTATACAAAGTCAAACACCCGATCAGCGCATAAAGACAGTCCAGTGTCCGAAATGGTTTTACCTTCTTTTTTGGGGACCAAGTCTTTGCATCACAGATCAAGACTAAGGAAGAGATTGTTTGGGTGACAGCAACCCCTTAAAGGGCAAGCTTCAACTCTCCCATCTCTTGTACAAAGTCAAACACCCGATCAGCGCATAAAGACAGTCCAGTTTCCGAAACAGTTTTACCTTCTTTTTTGGGGACCAAGTCTTTACATCACAGATCAAGACTAAGGAAGAGATTGTTTGGGTGACACTGATCTCTTAAAGGGCCAGCTTTAAGTCTCCCATCTCTTGTACAAAGTCAAACACCCGATCAGCGCATAAAGACAGTCTAGTGTCCGAAAAAGTTTAACCTTCTTTTTTAGGGACCAAGTATTTGCATCACAGATCAAGACTAAGGAAGAGATTATTTGGGTGACACCAACCCCTTAAAGGGCCAGCTTCAAGTCTCCCGTCTCTTATACAAAGTCAAGCACCTGATCAGCGCATAAAGACAGTCCAGTGTCCGAAACAGTTTTACCTTCTTTTTTGGGGACCGAGTCTTTGCATCACAGATCAAGACTAAGGAAGAGATTGTTTGGGTGACACCAACCCCTTAAAGGGCCAGCTTCGTGTCTCCCATCTCTTATACAAAGTCAAACACCCGATCAGCGCATGAAGACAGTCCAGTGTCCGAAATGGTTTTACCTTCTTTTTTGGGGACCAAGTCTTTGCATCACAGATCAAGACTAAGGAAGAGATTGTTTGGGTGACAGCAACCCCTTAAAGGGCAAGCTTCAAGTCTCCCATCTCTTGTACAAAGTCAAACACCCGATCAGCGCATAAAGACAGTCCAGTTTCCGAAACAGTTTTACCTTCTTTTTTGGGGACCAAGTCTTTGCATCACAGATCAAGACTAAGGAAGAGATTGTTTGGGTGACACCAACCCCTTAAAGGGCCAGCTTTAAGTCTCCCATCTCTTGTACAAAGTCAAACACCCGATCAGCGCATAAAGACAGTCCAGTGTCCGAAATAATATCATTTTTTTCAAGGGACCAAGTCTTTGCAACACACTTAATGCAGAAAAAAATCGGAACCTTAATATGTCAGAAATCATAAGCTTACCTTATCAGGGATCTAAAACAAAATTCTATGAATCAGGTCACGAAATAGAAATTTTTGCATCATACTTAACTGTGTTTAGCCTCAAGGGTAGAGACATTTAGACGGCCCATTTGATAGAAATTTTTCATCAAATTAAATGAACGCTTTTTCTATAACATCTCAGGGCAATCATCTTGGCAGGCCAGATAGATAGTTATAAGCTGCAAAATAGTGAACCGACGAATTTATTTAACATCAGTGTTTCACAAAAACAGATGAAACGTATTCGTGCATATGGTGGTACATTAATCAATCGAGAAGTGCTGTATACAACCGAAAGCCACCTTGATCAGAGACAGATCCAAGAAATCAGACAGCGAGAAAACTGAATATGTCTTATACTAGCAGTCTTTCTTAAGTTAACTCTATACGGTCGCTACATTGACGACTGCATCAGCGCTACCTCAGCGCTACCTCATCTACCAAAGAGGAGCTCACTCACTTTATAACCGCCGTCAGTTCCTTTCACCCGGCTCTGAAATATACCCGGGAAATTTCCGAAACTTCTTTGCTTTTCTCGACGTCAAAATTTCAAACAAAATTTCAAGTATAACTTTTAAACTCAGTTGATAGCTGTGAACCACTCCAAGATGGAAGAGATCACGAATGAAAAAAAAAAACCTTATTTATATTTGATATGAAATTCTTTTAATTTAAACCCAATTATGTATTTAATTCATAAAATTAGAGGAGTTATTCTTGTTACAAATCTAAAAAACCAACCTTATCAGATAATATTATTTGTTCCTCCTTCCTTTTCACTTCTTGTTCTCCAACCTCTTTCATCTTGTGCTTGATGCTATCTTATACGAGAAAATAGAGGAAGACAATGTCACTTCATGCATATTTCTCTTTCTCTCAACTAGTTACTCGTGTTTATTGTTTATTGATAACCATCAATGTTCCTATAGGCAGGGGCGTTGCCAGCTCTCCGACTGTTTTTAGGCCTGTACCTTAAAAAAGTTCGAGTTATTCATAATTTGAACGAATCATGTGATAAAAGTTAAGCGGGCGAAAAAAAGTTGTTGGCCTAGGCCTAAGGAGCTTGAAACTGGCTACGCCCCTGCTTCAAGTACCATTTCAGGTTAAAGTGACAAGTTCAATTAAAGTTCTTCATGACAGACAGACAGAAAAACATTTTACATTAATTAGTTTGTAACTATTCCACGATAAAAAGAGGGATCAACCAGCTAACTTAGGCTACTGGCTCTCAACTGTAAAATTACAAGGGCATACGTATGCTGTGGCAATCGGTTGCACAGAAGGATAATCAAAGCACTATCAATAATAAAAAGGTCTTTCTTTAAAACTTGTGTTGTACTACTAAAAAAATTAAAATACGGAGCAGAAATAATGGTTAACCAGAGTAACAGTGCTATAAACCCCTGCAAGCCATGCACCTCTATCTGGCGGAGATCGAAGAGATCAGAGATTGGAGAAAAGATAGATTTGATTAATTTTTAACTTTGGTTAGTTTGCATCATTGACCAGACCAGATTTACAAGTTGAGATGAGTTGAGTTATTACAGAACTAAATAACCAACCTTATTAGATGTTGTTTCTTTCCTTTTTTGTTCCCTTGCAATTTTAATTTGACACCCAAATTTCTGTTATCGTATGCTTGACGCTGTCCTGGTGAGAGATAAAAAGAGAAATTTGGTTTCTCTGACAATAAATAGAACAAGAAGTACTGCCATCGGCAGTTTCTTCATCAAGGATTGGATCTAATATTCTGATATTTAGAAAAAGGACCCTAATGAAGAGATTGTAATCTCCTATTTTACTTTAAACTTTTGGACGATTACCCTCCATTCCCATGTCGGGTTTCTTTTTTGGGGGGGGAGGGGTAGGGGGAAATTAAAAACTGCGATTAAAACCAGTTTTTTAATTTTGAAACACTATAGACATATATGGCTATGCGCATTATCAAAATTAAGCACAGAAATCAAAAGAGAAATAAGGAAATCAGTGATGGGTACTCGAACATCAAAGTACAAGTTTCCCAAGTTGCCCTGAAAGTCACGCTGTTCAAGAAGAACATGGCGGCTGCTATTGAGGATTTGTCTTATTCCAAGCTACGTGTATCTTGCTCTCCCTTCTTACATAAAACTCTTAAATAAATTTTACAAGGGCAACAACGAAAAATACGAACATTGTATTTCTATATAAAATACATCAAAACTTAGGTTATTTACCTGAAGAAAAGTATCGACAAAATGGTCGACATCAAACTTGAACAATCCTCGGCGTCCGTCTCCATTGGATTCAGCAGACGAAACGACACACCGACCCTGACAGAACTGACAATATCCTAAGGTAATTTGGTCAAAATAAAGTGTTTCTTGACTACATAGAAACTGTAAAAGACGCTGAAATTTCTTATAGTTCGTCAGCTTTGTTCACGTGCAGGACCGAGCATAGATATGAATATTAATTTTTGAAAATTATTTGTTATTCAAATGAGTGTTCCGACTTTAAACGGGCGGGACGACGTTCATCGGTTAGTTTCGTTCGATTATAAAACAAAAACTAAGTATAGTCAAGTAAAAGGTGTAAATATTGTTGAAATTTTATAAATATTACCTCGGACTTATTAATGACTTAAACTTCAAAAGTTTATCTTGAAGATACATTTCAGTCATTTAGTGATTACTTACTTTGCTTCACAGTAGTGACATGACTGTTATAAAGACTTCTCTTAATAGGAAGCACCTCAGACGGTTTCAAACAGACATGGAAACACCACAAATAATATTTCTGGCTCGGCCAGAGTTAGGTGTGATCCAGAGTCCTTTCGGAAACCATTGGTTTAACATCCTACTCCGCCCTCACTTTAACTAATTCATTCATTCGAGTGAAAACACTAGCTCCTCGATAACTTGAATTACTTTACAATATAGCGCCAGGATATATTCAAATACGTGAAGTCGCTGATTTGCGTCCATCTAAAGGAAAAGTATAATCATGATCAAGGCATCAGGGATTAGAGTTAAACGAGATTTTAGAGGGGCGGAAATAAAGAAAAGCCTCAGAGATGGGATCACTGACGGAAAAATATACTACATGCCTAGCTTGTTAGGGTGTGACAAAAATGATATCTCTGAGACATGTACTTAGCTCGAGTTCACGACGTTATCCTGCGAAATAGCTGGGTCACGAAATGAGAGAACGCTTCACTACCATGAGGAAACGTTTTATCCTCACATCTCAAAATATTAAAATGTCATTTTCCGGAAAGCCACGCAACATTCCTTGTCCAGTTTAAATTTGCTATGGAGTATAGCCTATATGGTTTACTAGTTGTTTATTTCGTGCCTACTGCCGGGTCTTCTTGGACCTTACGAGATATACAAGAGAGGGATCACTTGATCACTGTTCAAGTTTATTATGATAATTAGATGAAGTATTTTACAAGGATGATCAGTCACATAGATTTCATCCTTTAATTACATACAAGAGAAGTAATTCTAATTCTACTGATCTGATTACTGCTCACACCAAAATTTAGACGCCCGCTGTGATTTGCACAGCGATATTCTAGTCACTTCACCTGAAGATACATTAAACGAAACTGATGATTTTATGCCATATTATGTTGACATTTTCCGTAGAGCTTCTTACAATTATTGATTTCTTGATCATAAGGTCAATTACGCGAAGGAACACCGTTTTTGTCGACCTTTCACACAATGCAAGTCCTTTTCCATTTTTATATTGACCCACTTTATGCACCAATGAGGCATCAACTTTCCAAAATAAATCAAAACCGTCCCTCACAACATCATTTTCAAAAAAGCACTGTATTAATTTTTATAGTAGTTTTTGCTTAATGTAATTCAACCTAATCAGATCCACCCCTCCCGTCCCTCGGGTAGTACTCGGCCAAGATGGACTGCGGAATTCGCTTCAACATCTCTTTGGGGAAGATACGCAGCAGCGACCATCCAATGTCCAAAGAATCAAATACAGACCTATTTTCGTATGTTCCTGGAAGAGAAAAAAATAACATTACTTCCTGCATTCTTGGATACCACAGTCTGCACAATGGTTCAGTGGAAGCTCTATACAAGGGACCACATCAGGACAATGAAAAAAGGTGCCTTGAAAAGGTTTCCATTCAGTGAAGGTGACACACAAAAATTATAAGTTTAGGTCCCTTGATAAATCCCCACCAGAAGTGTCCTGAATGAGTAATTCCTCTGTACTATTTGATTTCAAAAGTTTCAGCATCCACTAATTGGGTACCATTTAATCAGCTTACTATTAAGCGTGAATCCTGAATATCTCAGCTAATACATATCACGAAAACTGCAGGTCGTTCAGTCACACGTGCGAACTTGCTAGTACACTGCACTTTGCTGGGATAACAGAATCTTTCTTAGGAGCATTTTAAGATTGGAACGGAAAAGGTTGAACCTTTGTCTTTATCCCACTGTACTTCTAAAATCTCCTTTAAGGAGGGGACTTTTCAGTTAGATGTTGGAGAGAACTCCTCTGATTCAATTTTTTCAGTGTAGACGATCACCCTCTCGTACCTTGTGTAATGAAATTCTTTTCAAACTTGGACAGGAATTCTAGATACAGCAGGTCCTCAGATGTAAGAGCCTCTTCACCCACAACAGCCTTCATGGCTTGCACGTCTTTGCCGATGGCATAGTTAGCATACTGAAAATGAAGAGCGAAGACACATTGGGGCATTTTTCAATTGAGTGTCAGTGTCATAAGCAATTCCTGATTGCATTGATTTTGCTTTACTTTGCTTTGTAACTGTTCAAGAAAACTCTCATCGTCCCCTCAAGCAATTATTTGCAAACCTAAAACCAAACTGTAGAGCCCATATGTGGTTAAACAAAGGAGGTTTAAGCAACTAGAGCATTGAGAAAAGGACAAAATTAATCTCTGATTTTACACACTTTCCCACAATTAATCCTCAAATCTACCAAATGGATAAATAGCGAAAAATCTCTTATGCCAGGCTAAAGCATCTACTTTCTCTTTAGCGCACAAACGGCTGGAAATAGACGAAGACAAATTCCATTTTTCGCAGTTTGCCCCTTTACCGAAGACGTGATACTTAACTACTCTAAGTTTAATAATTGATTCATCATGCCCCACGCAAGGTTTCATCAAAACAAGTAATTCTTCAGGTACAACTGTAGACACTCGTCAACACTTCCCAAAATATTTTTGCCCGACTCATCAAGAAAAAAGATAACAATTGAGGCACTTATGAAGATTTTATCTAAAGCAAAGCAGAAGTCATACCAGTTGGTTAGAAACATCTGCATGGTCTTTTCTTGTCATGCCTTCACCAATGGCAGACTTCATCAACCTTGACAACGACGGCAGCACGTTTATCGGAGGATACACCTGGAAAGAGAAATAGCCCCAATGCAAGGTCAAAAGAAAACTTACATACTCATGCTTTCGTTTCAGTTTTTTTTAATCCAATTGAAAGAGAACCTTGTTTACGTATCTACTCCACAGTTTCTGGATCTTGAAAATGAAGGGCGGGATTTTATTTTTCATAGAATTCTTTCCCATCACTCAAATAATTTCTCCTAGCAATTTCTATTCGTTATCTAGCAACCACGTTGTAAGAATAGGTAATGGTAATAGGACTGCGTGGAGTCCAATTCGGTCTGAAATCGTACGAGTGATAACAAAATCGGACAACCGCGCAGCGAGAGAACAATTCACTTAACACGAGTCACCAGTTAATCATAAAAATTACAATTTCCGAGAAAAGAAAAATAGCCAAGTTATGAAAGAGAGGAAAAATTTTGAAAGCCCCAATTAAAAAGTACATTGTTTCTATGGTGATTGAAATCAAGGTTGTGATTGGTTGATTTAAACTACAACTTTGAAAGTGATTGGTTGATAACTTCGAAGGTGATTGGTTTTTTGAACGATAACAAACTGTACGCTAACAACTTAGCAAGTGAATAATTGGAAATAGGAGTTTTTTTAAAGCAATAATAATCAAGAAAATTGTGGTTTTTTCTGATTAACAAAGTTATTAGCTTGATTGTGTCTTCTTGATATGATAACAAACTAATTTACCTCATTTAAAGAAACTTCTGAAGCCGAATTAGATCTTAGATTAACGACATACATGTCTGGGTTAAAGTACTATTAAATGTTAATTTTTTTTAGTTTACGTCGTTTCATATCATCATTGTATCAAAACAAGGTCAAAGTATTAGCGTCGCTTGTTTCCTGTGGTGACACAACCAGGTCTGTCTTTCATGTAAATGTACCAGAATCATACCTGTCTGTTGTGGAGCTGACGATCTACATAGATCTGCCCTTCTGTAATATAACCTGTCAAATCTGGGATGGGATGGGTGATATCTACAAACAACAAGAAAAAGAAATGTTTGAGGCCCTTCACCACGCAATGAACAATGCAGGTCTTACTTGCTAGAGGAATATTACTGCATTAAATAAGGTACACTATGATTGAGCTTCGTAGGAAGAAAACCAAGTTTAACACAACGACCGATCAGAATGGTGGAAATTAAAAAGTGCGGTCGATTGTGGGCTCAATCTGTGCCACTTTCTTAGGTCTGGTCATTAATCCTTGGAGGGGGGGGGAGGGGGGAGTGTATGAACTCTTCTCTCTTAAAGATTCTGGCTAGAGAGTCTGGCTGATGGTAACTTGCAATGTAAATGCATGCAACCAGCCTTAAGAAATACAAAATGCACGTAACCAAGTCATGAATGGCTTTAGTTAAATTGCAACTGACTTGTTGTGGGGGTGGTGATAGTTTTGTAGACCAATCGGAGAACAAAGTAATATTGATCTAACATTGACTGTGAGTATCTAAGAAATAACTTCCAAAGCGCAATTTTCACTTGAGTACAGAACTAATCCAAGATTTCTTTGGTTTTCTTTTAATTCGTTAAGTGATTAGTCCAGAAAACCCGCGCCACATTCTGAACCACTCAGATTCAAAACTAAAACCAATGGCGACTTGCCCCAGTCACATTTTCCTGCTCTTCAGGCAGTTTGCTTGTTTTTTCCGTCGAGTTCTCATTGGCTCACTCCTCGTGATACTTTCCCTACTATGATTGGCTGTTGTGATTGCTTTAGTTATGGCTTGACGACACTCAACCGAGAAGCACCCTAAGATGTTAAACCAAATTCTTCCTTACCATCATTAGGCATAGTCAAAATGGGAATCTGTGTGATGGAGCCATTTCTTCCTTCCACACGTCCTGCGCGCTAGTAAACAATAAAAGTAATGTTAGTTAGATTTAGTCATTTCAGTGACCGGATCTCACGCTTTCTGAGATAGACTGGACACTGTACCTCATAAATTGTGGCCAAATCAGTGTACATGTATCCTGGAAAACCACGACGACCAGGAACCTCTTCACGGGCAGCAGAAACCTGCACAGTGAAAAATAAAAGAATATTTATCAATTCCCCTCCCTGTCCTCAATGTATTCCTTAAAATTGTAGCTTGGAGAATTTGGTGTCAAATTAAAAAATAACCCCCTGTTGATATTTCACAATCTTCTCATCGACTGTCTGGTTGATAATGCATTGATATTGTATGGAGAAATTACTTATTGGTCACTTCCGGCAGTGAAAAGGTTAAAAAATAAAAATTCGTCAAAGTGAGGCGACCAACATGTTTTGTGATTTTCACTACGTGGCAGATCTATAATCATTTTGGAAAAGTTTCCCCCACGTTATTTTGGTGCACTGCTTTCACCTATCTAATAGCAACAAAAATGATGCAATTCTCAATCTTAACATGACGAAATAAAATGTAACTGACCTCTCGCAAAGCCTCGGCATAAGAACTCATGTCTGTAAGAATAACCAGGACATGGTTCTCACACTGATAGGCCAGGAACTCCGCTGTTGTCAGTGCTAGGCGAGGTGTGATGATACGCTCAATACTGGGAAAGTAAAGTCAAAATTCATGAAAACCATGGCTTTCACCATTTATTACGATATTTTGCGTCACTTCTGACACCATGCACTATTTTAAACTTGAAAACACACACACACACACACACACACACACACACACACACACACACACAAAAAAAACACAAATTCAGGAAGATATAATGAGACAAAAAGAAATGAAAAAAAAGGGAAGATGCGAATGAAAGCTGAATGATTAAAATTTCCATTATTAAACCAATTTGCAAGACAAATAAACACTGACATACATGTAGCTCGGACGTGGGAAGGGGGAGAGACTGGCATTTTAGCATCTCCAACTGAATGTCTTTGTGGACCACAAGCTTTCAACAGTGTTTCAACTGTAGTCAGGGTTATAAAATTTATATGCAATAAGGAAATTTTTTTTTGGTGCTAAACAGGGTCAAACAATCTGAGCAGATTTTATCTTGAGAAAATTCAGAGTTTTTTCAGACCCTTGCAGCACACCAACAAACCAACTTCTCTCAAGCACCCCTAAGGTATAGCTCCTTGTTTTATGAACCAAGTGAATATCAAGCAGACAAGAGACATGGAAAATAAAAATATCAATAAAAGGGTTATTAGTTGATCACTACCAAATTCTCTGAACTTACATCATAAAAACTGTAGGACAGAAAGTTAGGAGAATTATCAGTGAGGTATTGCAAGTGAAAGGGTTATAAGAAATAACTTTAACAAGACCCCATTTAAATAATAAAAACATTATTCTCTATAAAATAATCATGGATGATATCTATATTAAGTAAACAAGAAATTCTCTTACGTAGGATCATTGGCAAGATTAAGGAACAAACACACATTCTCCATGGAACCATTTTCTTCAAAGTCCTGCTTGAAGAAACGTGCAGTTTCCATGTTGACCTGATAAGGAAATAATTTTACAGAAAATTATAAAAACTGCAAATTCCAGACATATTTTGTATTGTAATCAGTAAAACATGACATTTTAAGTAATTTACTGCCACCAGGGTTTTGGGATAGCAAGCCCAGCAGGAAGAAACAGAAACTGTCATGGAAACAGACATACAATGTAGATGGGTGACAGACACTGTGTGAAAGCCTTATTGTACATGTATGTGTCACTAGTCACAAACTGGATTAAACAGTTCACCACATTGCAATAAAATCTTTTCCATAAGGCACTTGAATAATTTTTGCTGAAAATATGGAATATTCAAGTTTATGTATATGGATGCCTGATATAAAGCCATAGCCAACAACAGTACTTGAAAAGGTGGAAATCACATTTGAAATGACTGACAAAATGTAAAACAATAGGTTGTTATTTCAAAAGTCTCCTTCCATCTCTTCCTCTTTTAATCCCCCAACTCTCAGAGTGACTAAAATTAATTTCTCTGTACAGTTCCACGGCTAAATTAAACATTAAGGTTATCAGTATGAGAATAAAGAAATTCTCCTAATCAGTACTAAAATTTAAGAAGAACAGTATGGATAATACATGAGTACAAATGCTGGTGTGAAAGGGGTTAATACAAATATTGAGAAGGAAAAAGAGAAAACAGAAAATCTCTAATTCTCTCTCTAAAATAAAGTACTATGCATAAAGTTGGTACTTACAAACTCATGGTTTTAATTGTTTAACTAGTTATATCAATGACATATATCTTTTATCAATGTATATAACATAGACAGAATACTTACACCCATAGCAGCAAAAACAATGGCAAAGTTGTCACTGTGGTCATCCATTACTCCCTTCTTAAATTTTACCAAACCTGCTTGCCGACAAATCTGAGCTGCAATCTGACGTGAAGAAAAATGTAATATACAGATGTGAGGGCAATTTAAACTATTGCAAACAGATAAATAAACACATTATTTGGCTGACTATTCTTGTACACTTACATCATTGTGAGGCAAACCTGCAGCAGAAAATATGGGGATCTTTTGACCACGAGCAATGCTGAAATAGTGAAAAACAATTACACAAAGAATCAAATTGAGAAGAATTCTGTGAAAAATTAAGAATGACATTTTATGCTTTCAATTATCTGTGTTGCTTCTGCAGGCATTTCAGTTAAACTGCCCCCAAAAATTGTCTTAAACTAATCACATCCAAAGACAGTTGTGAAGCCAACTACCACGCCAAAAAACACATGTATATGTTTCTGAAGTCTAACCTGTTCATTGTATCAATAGCAGAGATCCCAGTTTGAATCATTTCTTCAGGGTAAATTCTGGACCATGGGTTAATTGGTTGACCTGTGTTTTGAAGTAAGAAGTCAAAAATCTTTACAAGTAATGATTTAATAAATTTTTCTATTATCCAGCAAACTTGACACAAATAAGTAAATCAAAATTTTAACATTAAAGGTTGTACCTAATTTCTCCAAGAAAAAAAAATGAAGAGAAAAAAATGAAAAAACAGTGGTAATACCCAAAGATATCTAAAAACCCACATGGAGCTAGTGTGAAACTTATAAATCTATAAACACTTATGGTTTCATTCCAACAGCTCAGTTGTGTATTTTTGACTGGTCAGGCTAATGTTCAAGAAAGGCAAGCACATCTCTAAACCACACACAGCCTTCTTTTTGCAGTTGAATTTTTTCAAAATAAATGATACTTTGCTCATTTCCTTAAACACAATAACACTCCTGAAATACATTTTAAGTACATGGTTTTCTGAGTTTCACGGTAGAAATGCTGAAGATGGACAAGAAACACAGAAACACCACCTTGAATGTCCAAAAAATCTTCTGCCATGACGGCAGGTCCTCTATCAATTGCCTTTCCTGACCCATTGAAGACACGCCCTAAACAAAAAGTATGTAATGGATGCAAACATTAAGACCACAGCCCTGCATTTGTGATTAGACATAATTTTCTTACACTGCTCAAGCTCTAAAGCAAGAATATTTTACTTTTGGTGAGCAAATAAATAAACAAACAGTTGAGTATTTTACTAGTTTTGGATTGTCAAGGTCATTTTAAATTTTATAAGAAACATATTCAAAATGCATAAACTAAAAACCTATTAACTGAGTTTTTGGTTGGGTTGAACAGGAAAATATTTGGCTTAGGGTTATAGCCCATCTACAGACTAACAAGGTCTTTCTACAGGGAAAACTTTTTTTCTTCAAGTCAGAACAAGAAACTCATAATTCATCGAGAAGAGTGACTCACTTTCTCATTAGTTTAATTTTAAGTTGAAGTCCACAATTTCAATTCACATTCTCAAAAATTGAAAAAGAGGCCTGTGATTAAGTGCAGGGCCTGACTGCTTCTTCTGAAGTGGCTCACATCAACCTGTCTGGTCCTTCACACACCAGCTCTCACTATGCTTTTCTATGGGATTACATTTGCCAGTCACTTGAACAATACATAAACAGATCTATGCTACCTACCCAACATATCTGATGACACAGGAGTCCGTAAAATATCTCCAGTAAATTCACATGTCGTATGCTTAGCATCAATACCAGAAGTTCCTTCAAATACCTACATGTTTCAAACAAGAGAGTTTAAAAGCATGCTGGTGCCAGTATTGCCAAAAATTAAACATAAATGCTATTGAAAAATACCAAACAATATCTGTACTGCAAATTCCAGCTCAGCTACAAGTTCATGTACATGTATATCATTCAGGCTAAAATGAATCTAAGGTCAAAATGGTTTCAAACTAATTTGATTCAACATCCCTAGTCTTTAATGTACAATACATCATCATTATCCTTAGACAAAAAAAGAAAAATAAATGCACTTAGTCTTAATTCACTCTAACCTACAGTCATTTTCACCTCCAACATAAACTTTGTTCAGTTAAGAACAAAAACTGGTACATGCACATGTACAGTTGTATTAAAAAAAATTGTTTTTTGTCTGTGGTGAGATTCCAGTTTAACCTTCTGTTGAAGTACAAACCAATTTACTTCAGATTGTGTGAATAGCCTACAGCATTGAATTTGAACACAAAGTTTAAAACTGTCAGATGCACCATTACTTTTAAGTACCTGCACCACTGCTTTGGATCCACTGACTTCCAGGACCTGACCACTTCTTTGTGAGCCATCTTGTAAAGTTAAAGTAACAATCTCAGCAAACTTTGGAAACTAAGGGAAAGTAAAAGCAAGGCTTTGAAATTCTTTTAGGCTAAATCTATTGTTATAGTTTCATTATACAATATTTTCTGCCTTTTTTTATTTATTTGTGATGATCAAAGTAGCCCCATGGTTTGCTCAGTGGATACCAAACAAACAGGTGTGAGTTTATGCCTCAGCAGTTCATTGTGTTGCAAACCTATAGGATCTCAAATCCCAAGGAGAACAATTTTTAGGTTCTATGCCCTGAGACTATGGGAACCCATCTGTAAGTATTTTTTGGTTCCCCAAAAATTCATACAAACCTATTTTTTATACTGTATCTTTTATTTTAAAATACAGGATGTTCAATTGTTGTTTAAAGTGAATTAAAGGGGAACCTGCATACTTTTATGACAAAAATAGTCAACATCTTTGGAAGTGTCTATGCACTGGAAACCATAATGATTGCTAAATGAATGTAAACAAGTCCCACCTCCAGTAACATACAATGCACTATGGGAATGATACAAGAGGGTGGATGAGAGAAGGTAAACAACAGATCTAGCTCTGCATATAAGCACATTTAAAACCAAAGAATTGCTCTGCTACTAAAAAATCAGAATAAGAAAAACACATTTGGATCTGTATGGCTGAATATATTAATGAGAACCTATTTTTTGGTTCTTTTATTTTCAGAACATGGTAGTAATGTGGCACTGGAAACTACTCTTACTGTGAAATCCAAGGGCTTGGTGTTGTGTTCACTTTACTCTCACAATACTCTCATGATACTATTTTCACCCAAGAGTACAAATGAGTTCATGGTCTAAAAAGGTCAGAGAAATGTGACAAAACTTTGAGGGAAAGGAGAGTGGAGTGGGTTTACATGTGGCACCCATCAAGATTAGAAGGCATACTCCTGGTCAATTAGTGCTACAGAAATTAAGAATGGGCACTAGGAGGTAGGGACCATATGGCTTTTAGGCCTAAAATGATCATGTAGACTAATACATGTTTTAAAATAACTAATCTCAATACAAATTAAGTTTAAACTCAGAGAACAGAAAATCAAATGAGAACTCCCAGAAATGAATTAATTATTTCATTTCTTCATTTAGGACAAAACTACAAATTCTAAAAGTAAATTTTGAACCTATTTGAGTTAAGGTAGAAGCACAGCTTAAAGATACAACTTCTACCAGTCTAACAAAAATGCGTCTTCTTTCACTCTTTCTTTTTTTCCCATTAAGTTTTAATAATAAAGCAGTGTGAATGCAGAGTGGGACCAGCTCACCTCAGCCCATTTGGCCTCAGCTTTCATCTAAAGTTTTCTAAGAATTCTATTTACAGGGCTGTAGGGTTGTATGGTAAATCACATGACAATACATTATAAACATCGAGGATAAAAATCCAGATTTATGGCCCATACACCTCTCAGGCATAACCATGAACAAAAACTGATCTTGTTAGAATCATTCTCCTACTAAACATGTTAATATGTTGAGTTAGTCCTATTGGGACTCCCCAAAAATTTATTAGTAATAAATAATTCAAGTTTTGAGGGAGAGAATTAGAAATTCTGAAAATAAATGATTAACTAACTTGAAGTCAAGTAGAAGCACAGCTCTGAGATAAATCTCAGACAGCTCAATCAAATTAAAAAATGGAGATGTATTGGCAGTTTTATACTTTAAGGAAGTTCTGATTGAATTTTCTGCCCTTTGTAGAGAACAAAACTGATGTAATCACATCAAAAATCGTTCTGCACAAAAGATCATAACTGGTCAAAATATTATGTCTGGAAATGTGTTACAAATAATTCACAATTGTTGTGTATAAAGGAACTGAAATGAATCGACAAAAACCTTGCACATGACCTAATCGAACCAGGACGAGTTTCGGCTGAGCTTGTGTCCAGGCATAAATATTTAAAAAACGCAAATTAAATTCAGAACCCGGGATCAATCGCATCAAGGTAGAAAGCTTCAGCTTTTGTTGAGCCGTATTTACCTTCACATCATCCAAGATCACTAAAGGACCATTTACTCCTGAAACTGTTTTGTACGCTGGAAAGCAAAAGCAACAAAAATTACGATCAAATGTGACTTGCAGAGATAAGCGTGAGACGTGTAAACTTCATCGATTTAAAACAGAAAGAGGGGACGAAAAGCAATCGAATGGCACATGACGGTGCTCTTGGATAATTCAAAGTAACTTACTCAATCTTGGCTGTGAAATGTAGTTCCTTGTTACAGCGGCAGCGTGTTCTTTGGCGACTCCATTTTCACCCGTTGTCGGCGCCATCTTGGAATATAATTGGCAGCATTACGTCACGTCACATGACAAATAATTTTAGGGTATGAGGGTCGAGTATGAAGTGATTGAGATAAAGGAAATTCGAAGAGTACAAAAACTACCCGGGTTACGCGAACCGTAAATTATTTTCCTCGTGTAAACAGCCCCAATGGTAGAGCAAATACCAGTAATGAACAAATGTTCTCTTAAATTTCTTCTAGAACAAATGTTGATTTTTTAACTACACTTTTTTTTTTTATCAATTTTCATTTTGTATTTTTAATTTTTTTCTTTTTCTTTTAGGAACACAATAGCAATACGTGTTAAAAGCAAGAGACATTACCCTCTCTTGTAAAAAGATATTCAACAAAAGCACAGTCATTCATCGAAATTTACTAGTTCGTGGTCCATAGTCTTGCCAACCGAACGTCGGCTGAAAATCTCGCATTTACATCTTGTTCGATGCTTTAATAATTAAAAAAATATATTCATAAGCCTTGTGCTTGTTTGATTTACTTTTTTATTCAAAATTCTTGTTAACCCGGTATTGAACCAGCCATTTTTCCCAACCCATACTGATGTTATAAGGAAAGATCAGGGCTGAGACTGAAAAGTTGGAAGAGGGGGGCAGGGGGAGATATCAAAGGCCAGAGCTTCCAGGAGAAACGTGTGGGTAAAAACAGAGAGACAAGGGAGTACACGTTTGACAAATAGGCCAGGGTAGGGGGATGGTGTGGAGATTGTATCAAATCTCTCAGCACCGCATAACCTTCCTCCCCGTCACACCTCACAGCTCGACGAAATGTCCAACTGACAGAATAGTTTTTGGCAGTAAGCAAGGGAAAATAACAGTGACAGAATGATCAACAAAGAGCAGTCTTGAACAACACTGAGTTGTGATCGTTTTTAGTGTAATTTATTAATCCATAATTAATCCCTAATTATACCGCGAGGTGAAAAGAACCGAATGCGTATAGCTGAATTTTCTTTTAAATTTGATTTGGTTGAGACAGAAATAATTGGTGAAAGGAGTTTTAAATTCTCTTAAAAATTAATTTTTAAATATAAGGGGAACCAGTCAATTGGCACTAGTAGATTGCAAGAATTTGTCTCAAGGAACATAATGAAGCATGCCTCTAGCACACGCTATCGCAAACTGACACTTTTCTTCCTGTTTTAGTGTCTCCTTCTCAAGATAACGGTTGTCCAAATTAACGATGGGCTAAGTTGATCCAATTTACTAAAAAAATATCAAGAGGTGTTAAATCTTGGCGGGCTCTACCGCAAATGGCAATTAATTGAAATCTATTCAGTGAATAAATGTAAAAATCGAATCAGTAGGTGTGTTCTTTGTTTTTCTTGTCGATTTTTTTTCGATGCTTCTGAGATGCCAGCAAACGGGCACAGCTCTCTCGATCCAAATCCAGTTCAGTTATGTAGCTCTACGAAAATAGCTGAAGATGTTTGACTAACAAACAGACCATTATTCCATGGTCTAGAAAGGGTGACAGAGAGGGAACAGAAATGGAAAAGATAATAACATTCGGACTGAAAAGTCGTCTTTCACATGTTTTTCAGTTTGATACAAGAGGCAATTTAAAATGAGATTTGCAAACATGGTCAAGGCTATCTAAGATCTTTTCTTAGTAAAGGTTAGGCGCTGTGTTTTACACTATTCTGGGAAGATCCGGCTCATTCATCACTATAAAGAATGTATTTCAAAAATGAACGATAAATGTTAATCGTGTCGTTGTGTATTAGGAGACAATTTATTTGTTTGCATTACAAAACTCTTTTATTTCTGACGTAGGCCTGTATGGTCTAATCTAACTAAGCATTTCAAATTGCTTCTCTAAAACATGAGAATCATATAAAACTGCTTTAGATTACTATCTTCGCAACTAAAACACAGTTTTAGAGAGAAAACATGCTGGACATATGTTTGCATTCAAATGCTGTAGCGACTTGATTCGACACGGATTGCTTTGAAATTCAGTTCATAGTTTTGTATAGAAGCAGGGCACCTCCCATAAAAAAAAACTTGGAGGATTTCTTTGAAATAAAAGTGATTAAAATCACAAAAAGTAAAACAGTGAACGGAGAACAGTAGGAATTCAAAAGAGAAAATCGAACAAAGCTCCTGATCAAGTCTTTATTCAAACAGGGGCACGTGTCTCTTTAGTTAATTTTAAACAATACAAGTTTAATCAAGATCGTCTAAGCATCAAACTGTTTTATGGACTTAATATGATAGAAGGAAGCCTTTCATCCTTCAGATGTGTGCGGAATGATTTTTTATTTTTAATTAAAATCACTCGAAATGGGCGTAGATTTAAACATGCGTGAAACTAGAAATTTTGTGAGCAGAAATAGCTTACTTAGCCTCTCACCTCTGAGAAATACGGACAAGTAATAAAAAATGTAATAAGGCATCGAATTATCGACTCAAATAAATATTGACTTTTCATTCTTCTAAACTAAAAATAGGCGGGTTTCAACAGACATCAGTTTTCCCGTTATATGCGTGATTTACTTGCCTCAAGGAAGACTTTTCCTGAGCGCGTTTCATTTTCTTCCGCTTAAAACAAACTGATAAGCAAGGAAAATAGTACTTCTTCTATCTTACCACAAACTACGCAGACGGGTAATCGATTTGCTTTCATGTCGATTTTATGAGTAAAGAACTCTTGATCACACGTGCCGCAGTACTTCTAGAATCACCTGCTGGCTGCGGGTACATAGTGTAATCCACACACGGTCGTCGATTGCCAATAAATTCATTTTCGCCGTTTACTATATTGTTTTCATACGACGCTCGCAGTTGTTATTAAATCATCAATTACTCTGACACTTTACAGATAACCTCATTTCTTTCAGGACTGCTCAATTTACTCCTGCTAAGATTATTGGTTCGTGCCGCACATCAAACAATTGTAACTGATTGTGTATTTGCGGCAGTTTGTCAGCTATTCTAAGCTCGTAAGAAGAATATTTATTTCCTGATGAAAGTCGTTTCGTAAGTAATGAGTCCACTGCTTTCCTTTTACGGTCATTTTAGCTGCACTTAGACACCGATCTTTCTCAAAAGAAAGAAAAATTTTCGAAATGATATCTTCGTTCTTATCGTTATTCTTGATTAATTACCTTTCTTCAGAGTTCTCAGCGTGGTCGGTTTTGCTTGCTTTCGATGGATACTTTTGTGATCACTCTGTTTGCGTTTAAAATTTCCATACGATACCGCCAATCTTTATGAAATAAATTTAATCAGCCATTAAAAGTTGTTCTTTTTATGAGCTACATTAAGAATTATTCACATTCCAAAATGTCTGGTAAAATTTGGCGTACATGATGGAATAGTTTTCAATCTCATATATTTATTTACAGAAGAACAAACATCAGTGTAGGAGGTTACGAAGGCCAACATACTTACTGAGAGAAATTGTCAACACCTTACCATACTTAGCGGCGTTCTTTCATCAAATATCTTCAGGAAAAATAATGTAGTAATCTCTATAAGGATAAGCTTTTAATGAGGACCTACTCAGGTTCTTGTACAGGTCTCACAATCACTAACTACACAAGTAAAAAATTCAAAGTATTCCATTTTTTTTTTAACTATTAAGTAGGAGAGAAACTTCGTTGCGTAAAACGAAGTCCTCTCCTACTTTATAATTGGTATAAATTAATCTCAAAAAGCATTAACCAGTTTATTGATTCCGTTTTATTAGATTAAAACAAAAAAAAACTTTCACCTTGCCTGAGAATAGGGACTACCACATTTCCACGCCAAACTGGCGGCAACCATTAGTGCTTTTGTTCGAAACTCAATTTCCAGACTCCCTTTACAGCGCATCCGATAATTAGCGCCGTTTTTGCGAGGATATTGCTCTTCTACGGTCGTTATTACAACCAAACGGCTCTTTAATAAGCGCGCTTACTTGTTTGCTTGCAAACGAGCGCATTAAATTATTTACGCCAAGTGTGCGAGTGATGTGGGCTGCAAAGACGATCTGAATTCTTCAGCGCGAACTTCTGGCGCACTCAAATGGCAAATCTGCCGAGGTAATCTCTCTTCCCTTGATACGTGACTTAGATTGAAAGTGAAAATACAAATAAAGTGACAATGAATCAGAACCTGGAGCATGTTACTTAGTTTTTTTTTTTAAGCTTTTCACCTGCACTCCTTTTCCGTTAAGGGCGATTAATTTCCCATGAAATTTCTGGCACTTGTTTCGCACCCATATACGACTAGCTAATGAAAGAGAATGATTTGATTTCTAAGAAGTGTATTTTTCAAATTATGACCATCTAAATTGTATGTTAACTATTCATTATTTTAACTTTTTGGCAGACTGTCTTTTTTTCGATAGAAAGAAAGTACAAATACACAAATAAGATTGCCTTTTCAACGTAAGTGCACGATTTCGTTTTTCGTACTTTTCAGAATAGGTTCCCCGATGACTTTGGACAACCTGCTGACTTTAAGTGCAATTACTATACAATTTACAATGAACAACAACGTCCTTGGGACAGAAAAGAACCAAAGAACAAAATATTGCTGGTGTAGATTAGACAGTGTTACATCCGATCTTCTGATTAAGTTATTATTACACACAGCTCAATGTAAACAAAGACCAAAAATGATTATTTCTCACTTAATACAGTAATATCCGTTTTCATTTATTCCGTATATTGACCTAAGCTTAAATAAAAGACGCACTTATAAACGCATTTAGCTCAGAGTTACCGAGCCCGGCTTCATCCAGGACCGTCCCAAAAGGAGATAAGACCAAGAAAAAACAACAGTTGAGCCTTCATGATGTCGACAAACTTCTTTTACTACCGATGTCCTTGTCCTTCGGCAGATTGTAACGGGGCCATCTGTAGATATCAAGACATCGTAGCCGCGCCAGTTCAGAGCCAATATACGTCTCCATCCTGCTCACTTTTCGCGCCCGAGAGGAAGCTTTTGACTTATCCAACCACCACTAAGGATGTAGCAAGCCCAACGGGGAAATACGAGTCCATATCGACCCCGATAACGATCGCACGGGACAACTTTCGGTGGACGCCATACCCAAGTCAAAGCAGGGTCACTCAAGAAAGTTCCTCACCGCCCAAAACAACCTCTGAGAGACGTAAGTTGGTTTCTTTTGCTACTTCACATCGAGTTGGTGTCGGGGGTAAAAAATGTCCTAAGTATGTCATAAAGTGCATTAGCACTTAAAATCTTACAAAAAGAGAAAACGAGGAAAGATTTTCTGTCAAATATTGGGTTAAAAGTTGGCAAAAAGAATCAATTTTCCGTCCTTTCAACTTCCAACCATATCGATAAGAAGGTAAAAATTCAGTCGATAAAGAATCAATTTTCCGTCCTTTCAACTTCCAACCATATCGATAAGAAGGTAAAAATTCAGTCGATAAATTTGATCCTAAGTGTTCAGTTACGTAAGGTCAACTTACTGCATCCATCGCCTGGAGAACGATCTATGTTTTTTTATGAGTTTCGCAACTGTTCCGAAGTTTCTTATCTAAGATAAGTTTCTTATCTACATTGTACGAGCGCTATTGCGATCACGATATTCCACCGACGGTAAAATTTTCGAGTATACAGTCAAGAAATTATCAGCCGGCATTATGTTTCTTCTTGTCTCGTTGACTGGAAAGACACGTCATGAAGGAAAAAGTGGAACTGCTAAACAATCACTGGTACCCATGACGTTTCAAAATAACTAGACCTGATGTAGTTTTATCTGTTCACTTGTAGCACAAAGTAGCACATCTGCGCATCAAGGAGGCCAGAAGACGACAAGCCGAAGGACACGCCGCGTTCGAACCGCTTTCACACCATTTCAGCTTCTTTGCCTTGAGACATCATTCGAGAAGAACCACTACGTGGTGGGCTCCGAAAGGAAACAGCTGGCATCATACCTTAAGCTCAGTGAAACACAAGTAAAGGTGTGGTTCCAGAACAGAAGGACCAAATGGAAAAGACAAGCTTTGGAGAACCGGGCGGACCTCAACAAAGATCCTTTGACACCATAAAGGAGTTGAAAAAACCTGGCCAGTTCAACCCTTTGACTTCCAAGTCAAGTAATTCTCTCTTTAAGCTGCCATAGTTTACTCTTTCTTTAATTGAGAGAATTCCAAGATAATCACACTTTAGATGATAAGTTTTTCTTGTCTCGTCTTTGCTGGATAATGTATAGGTATTGTAAGGAGAAGTAAAATTGTAATCAATTTGAGGGTTTCTGTGGCTTGTCATGGGAGTCAATCATCGCAGTCAGCTTGCAGTTAAAAAAAAGTGATTTAACCCTTTAACTCCCAGAAGTGATTGGCATGTAACTTCTCCCTATAATATCCATACATTAACCTGCACACAGGTAATAAGAATACTTAAACTAATCAGGTGGAAGTTGTTATCTTGGTCCAACACTAAATTCTCTTATCTAATTTATAAGGAGATGTGTTGCAACGAGAGGGGAGAATGAACAATCAGATTTTGGGACTGAAAAGGGTTAAGCACAAATCAGTGCGAGTTTTTATATTCGATTGTCCAGGGTCGACTAGCACATTGAAAAGTTTATTTTACGACCAACTTGAGTTTTCCGCATAACTGTAACTATGCCTGGCTAAGATTCGCCTCACAATGTACCTGTTTCACTGTGAAAAATACTTTTTAAGATAGAAAAATGTAAAACACCACTCGCGTATCATTTAGCTACGTGTAAAAACCACTGTAAAACTGCGTCATTTTGTAGATAAGTTCTTCGTATTTTCCCTTCCTTTTTTCGGATAAAGGGGAATACAACCGCTGTACATAATCTGCTCGGCTGCTCGATCATCACAAATGTGGTCGAATTCAAACCTTTACTAATTCATTTAAATTAAAACACTTTATTTGGTATAAGATTGTGTATGGTTCTTCACTCTACGAGGGAGATTTTCTCAAATATTTTATTTAGTTTTACACCTTTGCAAAAGGGTCTACTAGCAATACTGTGTTTCCTTCCATTTTTCCTTACAGTAAGATAAAACGCTGATATAGCCTAGAAAAATAAAATTAATTAATCTTGGATTAGTGGTAACCGTTTTTCGCACAACCTTGTAATGAATATAAAACGTTTCTGGCGATTGTTTTCGTTCCCGCCTCATTAAAATGTGGGAAATTAACAACCATTACTGACCAATACCGTAAGTGCTGGCTCCATACTCATGACCACACTATGGCCATATCCAACGAGGTCCTTTTCTCTCTGAAAGGCCCCAAATAACTCCCATGGACCTTTCTCGTGGGTATCCTAGGCAAAAGGACACATAGCGCACCTCATCGATCACACGGTCCCTATTACGGTGTTGATGTCCATGCAAATGTACCTTCGAGCCAATCTTTCTGATTTGCTCTTCTATGGTTTTACAACCTGCAAAGCGCGTAAAATTAAACTGGATTTGCGATCCTTGGGCTTTGGGATTGTCTAACTGCGGGAGGTGTAGTTTTTTTCTCTCGTCTTGGACTCGTTCGATGTCCTCTTCTGAAGCAGGGATGAGTTCACCACGAGGCAAAAAATGACTGAAAGATATAATTGGCGCGTCGTAATCCCTTGTTAAAATGTTTTCGTTGAGTTTAGCAAAGTACTGAGCAACAGATCCTTGAAGCACAGGCCATTTACAGAGATGATTATCCATCCAGACCTTGTTGGACAGTTCTGCATCTTCAGTGTCCCTTCCAACAAATAACGAGTTATGGAGGTCGTCCTCTGGTTTGGCATACCAGGAAAATATTGGCACAACCCAGGCCGCGGTATCGTTACAGCATTGCACCTTTACTGGTTTGGTATGAACGCCAATCGAATCACACATAGCCAAGATTGCGTGGAATTTATCGATGGAATTGTTGTGACAGTAGGTATTTTCTACCTGACGAATCCAGAGCTCGTGGTTTCCTGAAATAAAAAAGATGTATACACAGTCGGTAGGGTAAAAAAAAAAAATACGAGAAAAACTTGAGAGTAAATTGAGAACACGAAAATCCCTTACTAAAAAACCAAGTCTGGAGAATGGAATAGCAATGATAATGATACAGCCAACGTGAATTCCTTCGAATGAGGCATGCAAAATAAATGTCTGGTAAAAGGGGGTATCCACCGTCCCCTCCCTGCATAAAAAATAAAGGTTAGGTGTGGAAGTGACGCGCACAGATCCACAAGACTAGCCTGTGCAGCTGGATGTTGATGGGAATTTTGAACAATTCGACTTCTCATTTGGATCTGCTGCTCCAAATGCACATTACTGCCTGAGCTCTTCTAGTGTCTTCATACCATGTATTTAACTCCTGGGTGGAGACAGGCTCACTAACACAATAGTCATGGTCAATGATAACCTCTGCCATGATCTCAGTCAGTGGAAGGTGTGAAAAAGGGTGGCACCTTTTCTCCTTTCGAAACTGCCACCAGTTTTTGCTTGCCCTATCTTACAACCCTCTTCCCTGACTGAGAACTTAGCATAGGGTAGGCCAGGACTTGCAACTGGACATATTAGACCAGATGGATGGATGTTAAGTATTTGCCAAGGTTTCCAACTTATTTTTGTAATTGTGCAAAATCCTCATCTATCCCTACTACACCTAGGTTACAGTTACTGTAACTCATAAATAACAGGCTCCGCTCTACTGTTATATTGATAAAATAGTTGTACAGTCAAACCTCTGAGTATGTACAATTCCCAAAAATGGACACTTGGGTATAAACACAAGTTTCTTATGTTCTCACAAAACTTTGACAGATACAGACCCTATCTCACACAGACAACAGACACATTCTCTTGTGGAAATTAAATCTCAATCCCAGAGAGAGAGAAAACTTCTAAACCTCTTTTCTTCTTACACGCTGGTAATCAGGTGATGATAGCATGTGTATGAAATACAAATTTATGTTTACAAATACAGAAACATAAATGCTTCATTAACAAGAAACTTAGCCCAAAATAAAGAAAATACCAAAAATACTGATTAAAGAACCAACACTTCTTTGATATTTTACTCTGGTAAGATATTTCTCTCTGAGTAAAGTACTAAGATTTCTTTGATATTTTACTCTGGTAATTGATATCTGCAGTTGTGAACCCTTCCAATCTTTAGGTGCAGCATTACCTTTGGTGTTTGTTTCATTTTCTGTTAGACAGTGCCCACATTTTTCTTTTTTTCACAGTATTCAAACCTGTGCCATCCAGAGACTAGTTGGGCTCCATTATCACCTGAATTACATGTACAAAGCTACATGCTTGGAGCAAGGCAAATTTTAGTGGGTTCTTTGCTCCAAGTTAAATGTAAAATCAAGGAAACATTACATTTTCCACGGTTTTATCTGATCCCAGTGTTTTTTTCCTATGTCTCCCCTATGCAAAAGAAAGGCAAAGTACTCTGAGATGGATGTTGATTTGTATTCTCCAATGAGTCTGAGAGCTTGACTGTGATGAAATTAAATGACCCCTAACAAGAAGATATACCATTTCTAAGAAAATACATATTTCTTTACCAGTGCAGCCAGGGGACTAAAACTTTCTAACATTCAGTGATCTATTTTTCAAACTTCTTTCTTCCCACAAAGGATGCACTGTCACTAAAGATGGAGCCAACTTAGAAAATTGTACTTTGGCTCTGTGGATTACAGAGCTCATCTGCTTCCATTCACTGAGCCACATGATTGTTTGTATAGTTATTGAGATTCAAGAGTTTCCTTTCTTTGTATCAGAGAGGAAGAAACATGAAAATCAAAATTGATGGGTGATTTAAAACCAAGAAAATATTTGGATAGAAGAAAAATCACACAGATTCAAGCCCTTTTACATGCAAGTTCAAGTTGAGGATTACGCCATCTTTGACAACCTGTCCTATGATTGGGGCAAGGAGGACACAGGAGCTTAACAATTAGCAGACAGACACAACTTTATCCAAATTAAGATTTTCAAAGAAGAAAAATATATAGCATATTGACAAATGAAGTAAAAAAAATTCATAATGAAAATGTAAAGTACACACTTAAATACTTGTCACCTTATATGCTACAATAATTTAAACTAAGATAAATTAAAACTAATTTTTGAATAATGTGAAATGTATAATTTTACAGTCATTTTTTAAATCATATGCTGTAACTTTTTTCACTTCATTACTCTATATGCTGCTTTAAGTTTTTCAATTTTAATGTTTCAATAACTAGCAGTGTCAGATGCAAAGGAACATCTTCCACATTTCATGGTTTACACATCTAGTCCTGGTTATTTGGAGGGTCAGATAGGACTATCCATCAGATAAATATCTGTCCAATGGATAGCACAGTTAGTTTTGTTAACACATATATGCTGGATAGCAGTTTGTTTGGTTTAAATGGGCCCTGGAATCTAGATTGAAAGATCCATGTTTGCGACCTGGTCATCATTTATGTTGTCATGTTCTTGGGCAAGAGCCTCTTAAAATGCTCCAATTACCTCTTTGATCTACACCCATGAGTATAAATGGGTTCCAGTAAACTGCCAAGAGAACTTGGAAAAATGCTGGAAATAACTTGTGCTGGACCAGCATCTCACCCAGGGGGGTCAGGGAACTAACAAAACTCCTTCTTAGTTTGTGCTAATTAAACCAGGATTAGTGGGCTTGAGAGAATTCTCAAAAGTTATGCAAATCCTCGAATGCATCTTAAGTTTGCATAATTATTCTGAATTCTTACAGGCCAACTCGTGTTTAGATGAGGCTAAGTAAACGCGGAAGTCTATCATGTTCATCACCTGAGTCATTTAAACTTGTGACGGACCATTGCAACGCTGTTTAATAATGATTTACTCAAGTACACAAACCTGGAACATAGCAGACCTTCGAAAACTTTTGAGTCAGTGACGTCAAGACTGTTTTAAGCAGAGACAAGTTATCCGTCACATCCCCAGCAAGAATGAGTACGTCATTTTTGAAGTCAGCGTCTGACCAACTATTCACCAAACGAAGGTTTTCGGGTATATCAACGTGAATATCTGAAATGGCAAAAATCCGTGACATTCTTAGTGCAGAGGAGGAAAAATATCGGCTTTTGACGAGAAGCATTCAAACCAAGTGGATAGTTGGCTGTAATATCCAAACAGCACGGTCCGCCATGTTTGCTTTTTAGTCCCCAGGTTCTTCCCAAGGTTTGATATGGCGGCTGAGGTAGACGGAGGTGAGATCCGGCCACCATTTACGTCACAAAGTGGGCTACGCAGCACAATTTCGTTGGTTGCTTGCCCTCTTTCACTGAAACACCCGATTCCAGAAAAATAGGAGGGATATACACCGTCAAGATTAGTTGATTTATTTCACCATAAATTCGTCACTGCTAACGTAACATTTTTTTTTTCATTTTACTCATTTGTTTAGCTATTTATTTATTGCTTTGTTGATTTATTTTCGCCATCGTGCACTCCTTTAAAAACAAAACAAAGTAGAAAATAAAACAAATTTGAGGAGCTGGGCAGAGTTTGAGTAATGGAACTTTGAGAAAAACTCCGCAAAATTAACATAATAATATGTTTCAAAAATACGTACAAGTAACGAGAGGAAATGTTCTATTGATGTACAATGTACGATGTGGTCTGTTATGTCTAGGGTTAAGAATCAGAATTTTAATACGATCTATGTTTTAAAAAGGACACTGAGTTGTCAAATTAGGTCACGCATTTTGCATGATGAGTCAGTCCGTGCTGATTAGATGCTATCGTTGAAATCATGAGAAGAGAATCCCTTAAAAAATGGAAACAGGAAACTAATTTATTGAAATCAACAAAACTGCATATCGAGAATTCAGGCGGGTACTCAATCATTCTTATAATCAAGGCGCTTAATTCCAACTTGTAGTACACACTGTACATATAGTTTTCCCTGTTGCTAAGCGAACTATTGCAATTTTCATTCTTGCTTTTTTGTTACTCCTTTATAATATAAAGTAAGTAACTGAACGCCAAACAGTAGAGGTATTTTAGAATTTAATACGGAAACATACTTGAGTACGATATTGCATTTCAAAGTGATACAAGACACGTTAATTAGATTAGGGAAACCTTTTGTTTCATCGTTCTTTATTAAGATGAAGATCATGTGGAAGACTTAGTCTATTCTTAAGGTACTTCCATTATCACTATCAAACCGAGCTTTAAATCTAACCTGACAGAGCGCTTTGTTTTCTATCTCTTTTCAACTCACATTTTTCCTGTGCCACCTCGGTTGCCAGAGGCTTCTTTTGAAAGTCTAATTGCTTTTAATTCTTCATTATGTGGCTTTATTCCGGCGAGTTAAAGCTTCGAACGCAAAGCCAGAGTTTGTTGTGGCCGGATGAGCTCTTGAATTAATACTTTAAGCCTCATAGGGTACTTAATTAATTTTTCAGTCCGTAAACTACTTCGCAGAGATGGCGAAAAGTTTTCAATTTTATAATACAAGCAAATTTTTTATTTTCACTCGAAATCTGTGAATGTACATGTACAATGTATGATTCCCCTAATTACTTCGACTTATTAGTGAGAAATCCTCGATTTATTAATTTTTTATACAATCGAATATTTACAATTTCAAACTAAGACCATTTTCGGGCCTTCTGGAAAGAAAGAAAAAATTAAACAGATAAGTCTTTCCATATTCGAGTCATATTCTCAAATTTTCAATCAAAACTAAACGAAGAGTCGATAAATCATTATTCTTTACGGAAGAGAAGGCAATGCTCGATTTTGCTGCCTTGTGTGTACAAGATCTACATTTGCCATCTGGCTGCAAAAGTTATCGATTTTCGGGATACAGAATTTACCAAATTATGTCTTTAATGAACTAACCAGAGGTGTGTTTCTAAGTCTGCTAGTTCAGTTTTGAAATGTATACAGTTTCGCGATAAAATTGTGTGAATATGTTCATTGTCAAAACACCTTTAAGTACAGTTACACATCTTTTCTTTTCTTTTTTTTTTCAATTTTAAATACCATGGATTGAGGCCCATCGGATGTTCGCGACTTTCATCTCTCGTAAGCATATCATAGTTTTTCCTTTGTTTCATATTTGATGTCTTAGCTGGAGTTGGGCCGGTCCATTTTTTGTTTTCTCCATTTAATTCTTCTGTTCTGAAACCAGACTTTCACTTGTGTTTCAGTGAGATTTAGCGAAGCGGCGAGATAATGTCTCTCGGCTCCGACCATGTATTGCTGCCTGTCAAACTCTTTTTCCAATCGCTCGAGTTGTTCTGGCGTGAAAATCGTACGAATTCTCTTCGGTTTTCCTTGCTTGAAATTCCACGCCTTGTTTTCTTCATGGTGTACAACTGAAAGAATTGCTTCTCCTTCTGCAATAAATGGCATGACCCGCAAATTAGCATGAAAAAGATACTGTACAAGAGGGCGTCTATCGTTCTTGTTATTTCGCCTTTGTAGCTTATACCGATCTTATCGCATGAATAGAAATACTTGGTCTTTCAGTCTTTAAACTGTATTGAGGACTTTACCAAAGAAAGCGTTGTTTCAGTTTAGAACATTGAAAATTTTAATTACCTAGTTTCACATGATGAGAGCTTTATGTTATTGAATGAGACAATTTGTAAAAAAGCAATTAAATGAGGTTTCGCATGGGAAAATTCTTGCTACAGTGATTACCCTCGCTTTAAACAAAAGAACAAAAAGTATTCTTTTTAACCGTCTCTTTTTTCAGAGTCAAGGAAAAACTAAAGTGATACAAATTTTGTTTCAGAAATCAAAGTCTCTTCAGGAAAAATTATGAGTCTTTAATTTTTTTTTACCAAATGTATTGAACGGTTTCAGCGCGAAGCCCCTGGCAGTTTTCTAAAAAACTGAATCTGGAAGAGCCTGATTTAAGGCAAGCATGTCCTCTCACTTACGTAAAGAGAGAAGTATTGTTAGGTATTTTAACACCAACACTTAAAAGTCATAAACACATAATAAACAGGAAAACGCAACCTAAACTAACCAAATTTCCGTGCGCAAGCAGTTTATAAAAGAATTAGATTTTATTTAGCAGGAAGTAAGACTAGGTACGAAAATCTGAGTTTCGTTGAGTGATAAAGTGAAAGGAATTTATTAATGGTTAGACAGATATGGACTGATTTATTGAGGATCTTCGAAATAAAGTGTATTTCTAAAGCAAAATATTTAATTCATCACAATGTGGAAATTACTGTTTAAATCTCAAGAAATCGATAAATTGCAAAGTTAAGAGTAAGAACTGACTGGTGAAACCCCTAAAGGCACAACTTACCTTTTTGCAAACTACCGCAAGTTGTTCGCGCAAAAGCACTAGCTGTCAGAGGTCGATGGTAGGGATGAAATCTTTCAATTGAGAGATGTGAAGAGTAACTGGGAACAAACTGCGAGCTTATGTTCCCTTCAGATGAACATTTAGCTACCGTTGTTTCTTCGGATCTGGCTGGTTTAGTCGGCGACTCTTCTGAGCGAGATAGAATGGATGAAATCGTAAATGAAGATATTCCGGGCTGGTTTGGACTCGGAGGTGGTCGGTTCATCGCTAAACTCGATGCCACAGCACTGCTTCTCAACGCCAGGCAATACGGGGATGAGCACGTAAAATACGGGCACACGTATGGACTGGTAAACGCCTGCATGACCAGTCAATCGCGAAAATCAAAATCTCCGTGACTCGAGCACGACTCCTTTTTGAGGTTTTATGCACGCTCATAAATCCACGCGCCAAAGTCTTTGCTGCTACAGCTGATTTCGCTGAGTGAATCCTTCAAGTTAATGGCAGTCTTTTATACTCACAGCCGACAAAATTGGCAACTGTCTGCTGCTAATTTCATAATAGCAGTTGCTAAACGATGGACGGCCCTCAGAAATATGCTGTTTTCTCATTAAGCCATTGGTAAAATTGATTAGAGGGCCCCATACAATACATAATCGAAAGAACCGACTTATTAGTATCTTCACAATAAACAAACAAATTGTTCACGTATCCTTTTAACTCAAACATTAACCTATAATTCTGCGCGTTCGCCTTAATGATTTAAATTGGTCTTTATGGACCATGATAAGAAATAAATAAAGCCTGCAAATTTAATATATGTTTTTGAGAAGGAGAAATTAAGAGAAAACTTCCTCAACAGCTTTGGGGTTTTCCCTCTTTGCGGGCCACTTTAACAACAAAATCGACTCTCTTTTTAAACAAAAGAATCAGTTTTAATCATAATATCCGTTCAAAGCTTTTGCCAGCGAAATGTACTGTCGGCATACGACATGTGGTAGCGAAGACAAAATTGGCATTGTTCTAAAGCCTTTTGTGTCGCCTGAGTTAATTAATACTTTTGTAGCGAAGTAGAACACACGAGATTCACTTCCTATTCCAGAGAAAAAGAAACACGCCAAGGTTTCTGTTTGATATTCATTTCTATTCAAGCAAAACACCTGTTTCGCAAGTTTTCATTCATTAGGCTGGTCATCTTCGATACAACAAGGCAATTTGCTTGCAGGAAAGCTTTTTAATTCATCAATTATCCTATCCCGTTTAATGAGCAAAAGATATTTCGGAGTTTATTCCTTTAAAATTAACTCGACAAGAGAAAATTATCGATAGTTGCTGTGGGTTCCAAAGGCAATTAATTCGCTGAAAACAATTAAAAGGTTGAGATTGAATAAGAGGGAGTGAAATCGATCCCTTCATGTGCTTCAGTTCCAGGCCTCAGTTCTTTTTTGTCTGATTTATTTTATATACGATTTCTAAGAAAAGATTGTTGGGGAACATAACGTTTTGTACAAGCTGAAACACCTTTCCACAAAGAGTTGCTTTTTGGGGACTTAGATGCAATATTCAACGCGGCTATTGTGTATATTTAGAATCAATTAAGTTGGTTTAATGAGTTCCTCTTAACCTAATATCAGTAATTTTCAATCCATTTCGTCATTTTAGTGGATCAAATAAGAAGGTTTCTTTTGACCACGCAATAAAGAAAGGTTAATCTCTTGGAATCAATCGAGACAGTCTTTACTGGGTCGCTAACACGATCCAATGACGGTAATCGCGTTTATCAATGATGGATTACCAGGGGTTTTACTCATGCACAAACAAATCGAAAAGCAATAACGTGTTCGTTCGCGTGTATTACTGAAGGGTCGCAAAAAATTTACTGATTGAAATAGAATTCCAGCCGTGTAATTCCAAAGTCATAAATTTTTTTCGTTTAATAACCTTCTTTTTTATTTTGCGAGAGACACATTCTCAATGTAGCTGTTATTGAAGTAGACTTGCTAACTTGCCCCTCCTACCACGAGCAGGCAGGCGTTCCTAGTGTTCAAAACCGCACTAATCGCATCTGATAACCTAACAATTCACGGGATAAACTGATCCGACTCGAGTCTTGTCAAGCTGCACGTATCATGTTTTTTTCCTCAATTTCATAACTAAGTAATCTTAGCAAACTCAATTGATTGGCTAATATGCAGGATAATTTGATTAATGCAACGAGAACTCTTTAAATGTGATCTATGACCAAACAAGTTCGTTTATACGGCTAGCGTGTTTTGATGATAACATACGAGGGGATGAAATGCCGGCCACTGATTCTAGAAACGTGATAAAAGAATTTCTGCTAAAAGATAGGAAAACCACTGAGTGAGGTTAGGATTTGAAAAAAAATTGACATTTGAAAGCTAACGAGTTATTTGCTCAAGAGGAAAGAACAAAGATACAGATCATAATGCAAAACTTTCCGCCATGAGATTAGGAAATGCGTTTAGTTTTTCACCAGTTTTTGTGAGACTTTTTCTTTATGGATTCGAAATGTTAAAAATTCCTTACACAAGCTTTAAAACAAAGAGACCTAGGGTTTCAAGAATTATTCAACACTACGATTTGTGGCTCGGCAGTTTTGCGTCTTTTCGATCAATTTAGTTATGTTTCAAAATAAAGGTATTATGATCACATTAAGATGACAAGCTAATTAGAACACTAATGCTATGAATACTAGAATAATTAAGCAGAGTTTTGAAATCTTGTTTTCAAAGGGTATTTCTGTTTAGTTTGCGAGATTCAATTTTCTTTCATATTGCTTTTTAATCCAATAATCTGGACATGTCAAAAACTTGTTTGAATGGTTAAGCAATCGATGATTTTCAACAAAAATTCACATTTCAACATACAGGAACTTTCAATTCTTAAATGAAAAATATAGAGACTTTTACTGCAAAGAATGACTGTTTGAAAAGTTCTCTCGGTTATGGTAATTTTTCAATTCACGACAGAGCGAAAGATGATTAAGTTATATCCTCACTGAAATTCTATTATTTGCTGTTCAAATAGTCTTTTGTGTAACATATAATGTGAAGGGGTTGAAGATTTGATTTAAAAATAAAGACCGTGAGACAGATGTCCGAGAGAAGAAAATTTCAGAATTGTGGATCTGAAGAGCGGATTTATTCTACCCGCGCGTGTGAAACTTTTTCCACCGGCTAAATTGTTCTCCGGTTTCCACTTTCTGCCATCTTGTCACGCGGCAAGTTGTAACAGTTGAAAATCAACAAAACGATGAGACAATGCAATTTTACAAGGTCTTCGTTGTTTTGTCAATTTTTTTTTGGAAAAAAATTGAGTCATAAATAAAACCAGTGCGGTCTTAATTTAGACTCTGGCGCAGCAGGTGACGTGCAGTGCGGTCCGCCCATTTCAATGCTCACTGTTAAACTAATTTAACTTGAGAACAAGAACAGTTAATTGTATGAGGAAATTCACCATACATCGTAACACGAAAATTCACTAATTGGGTCGCGATTTGATACGTGGTCGGGCGGGATTCAGCGCAAAATTTGGGCGATTTGTACCGCAACTTTTAAGTCGCAAGTACTGAAACAACAATGTGAAATGTGATACACCTCTTAAGAGACACCTTAGAGCGTTCAGAGTTTTTTGCGAAGCAACCATTATCTACAACACGTGATGTTCATACGGCTTCAGATCCATCATTTTTAGCTGTCAAAATGATCTTGGAGCATTTCAGCTTTCAGACTCTTATTTGACAGTTAATTTGCAAGAGAAAAACATGACTGATTGTCAGTGAAACATCAAAGTACCGATGTTTTGCTTCTTTTTACTATTCGCTTTGATACTGAGCTTCGCATTCAAACGATTAACCACTAGTAATGCTGTTCTAAAACTGTTCACCTTTTTTTCAAATCGTGTAGAATTATTTTACCACGCACACTTTGAGAAAGCCGCGAATCGAGACAAAGACGTATAATGATAAGATTATTATAACAATCTTTCAGTTTGTAATGGTTAGGGACAGGAGTTTTCTCTGGATATTTCCTGTTTCCGTAGCTTCCTTGTTTTCTTCACTCTACTGAATTTTTTTCTTGAGTTTCTTTGTTTCCTTTTTTTGATGAATGAACTAATCGTTGTTGTTATTACTGAAATTAATTAGTTTTCTGTCTTCTCTATTCTGTCTTTAATTCGTGGCTCTAGATATCATCATTTTTTCTTCAGAGACTTAATCTAACAATGAAAAATATACCTAGGACCACAACACCACACCTTACAGTACAGCTGCAAAACAACGAATTGCGATAGCAATATTTTTACAAAATCTTGCAAACTTATACTAATTTCAACTGAAAACTTTTGGATAGCACCTATGAGCGTAATCCGAAACAAAAGCTATTTGTTTCTTGTAAAATAGATGAGAAAAGTTTCCTGTCATGGTCTCCATTTTCCATGAACTGAACCAAAATGTGCTGCAAACGAAGCCAACAGGTCGTCAAAAACAGTAAATCAGCTACCACAGATCTCTTAGGTTCTTTCTACTGACAAATGTCAGTTAAATTTTTGCTTCAGAGAATCATCTCTTCTGAACATTGCACTTAACCTGTGTCCTCACTGCCATTGCGATGCTAAAAATTGTCTCTGACAGCAACTTAAGTATAAGTTAACATTAAGAGACCCTAGGAACTGAACACCATACAAGCATGTTGGTCTCTCGAGCCAAGTTTGTTAGCTGCCTCAAACTATCATGTTCTGTCGAAAGATGCGCAAGACAAAGGCGAATACATCAAAACTGGTCACAGTTTTGGGTTTTTACCGTCGGCAGATGTTGAAGGGTATGAAAATGCCTAGATAATAAATAGCACTGTAAGCTCTACATTCAGTTCATCAGCATCCCAATTTTTCCCGTCCATGTAGCTTCCGTCATGAATTCACTAGGAAAGTCTAGTAAGTACCAGGTAGGTACACTAATGACAGGATCTTGTGAACATTCCAAAAGTGAAAAAAGAGCCGGTTCCGCTTTTTTGTGCTATTTTGGTTCAGTAGCTGATAAACAAGAATTTTTCTAAACAATTTCTTCATTTACTAACGAGATTAATGTTATGAAGCTTACAGATACGTCAGCCAGCTTTATTTAAGATTTTCATCATTTCTAATATCTTGGTTACAGGTCAGTTTAGCGAAGATTTAGGGTGGCATTTCGCTCAGATAGCCGACGAAGAAATATCTAGTAATTGAGAGAGCAATAAAACTATACAATATATATATTTTCTTTTAGAGGAGACGGGTAAATCAAAGAGATTGTCTAGTATGATAGCCATAGCATGTTTTTATAAGAATTTTACTTTAAATAAAAACACCATTCAACGTATATGTACAATCTACAGCACTGCCTATATACCATAAATACTCTAAGTTAGGACATTTGTACATTGTACAGCTTATAATCAAGTGGTGCATCATATACGCAATGTCTATGCCTTGTTCTACGGTAAAAACTGCATCCTCGGAGCTGTATTTTCATAGGTAAGTTAGAATATGTAAGGCAGTCAGGTGATTCCGTATGCCTTAAGACTACGTGTGATATAGAATTATCATGATGAGTATCTATGGCGATCGACTGACGAACAACGATCCTTTTGCTGTCGACCTGCGCTTTCGTTTGCTTCGACGAAGTCTGATCTTCGTCGGAGTGGCCTCGACAATCCTATATCGATCGGTCTTCTTGCGTTTTGATCTGCTGATATGGCTGGAGTCGCTGTCGTTGTCGTTTCGGCGTCGTTTCTTTGTAGATTTCACGACAGAGTATAGATTGTCTTGAAATCGGACAACTTTGAGGGGTGTCACCGTCTGTGCGGGCTTCCGAGGGGGACTCGGCGTTCCTCGGAACGACAATTGAGTCTCCGACTTTCTCTTCGGGGTCCTACGTGATGGTGGCGAAGATGACAGCTTTGTTGGTGTCCCCTGGCTCTTATCAGTAGTGGATTTCATTGCGACGGGAGACCTACTCCTTGTTCTTGATCTGAAAAGTAAGGGTTGTGAATTAATAAGAGGGTTATCAATAATTTGTGTGACTGAATGTTTCTATCAAATTTTTACATTCTAATAATCGCATTATTCATAACGAGAATTTGCATCCCTATGTACCAATAGATATGACGGATGATTTGCTTGGCCATAAACGTATCGGCCTAAACTATTCAACCTGTTCTGATTGACTGACAACTAAATAATTGTTTCAAAGATGAATTTTCCGAATTGCGATAAAATTATTTCCACGTTTCGTGCTTACCTTGTTACACAAGTTGTCTTTGATGGGTCTCCCATCCTATTACTCCTAACTTCATCTTCAAACTCTTTCAAACTCTTTCCTCGTCCTATGAGCCTGTCCAGTTCTGCGTAAGTATTTCTCCGTGTGGCGGTCACCTTGTGTTGTGTACTTGTGACATGTTTCTCTATTCCCACGTAATTTGCATCACACAGTTCACAGTATCCCTTCTTGTCTTCACTTCCTGTTGGTTCCCGGGTGATCTTACGTCTGTTACTCCTCCGTGGACTCTTGGATGAGCTTCTTGATCTCGTGCGCATGCTCACAGGTTCATCAAATGGCGAGAAGCCGGGTGGGGCGTCTAAGTTAAGCCGCGGCCAGACCCTGAGTTCTTTGACAAGTGGCTTGTATTCTCTGAAGAGGAACAAACACTAACTATTGGTAAATTGTAATTTGATGTATCGATTTTTTTTAGATTATCGTTAACACGTAGCAGGGGGTTTTACCTGGGTTCTGACAACCAAAGAACGAAGGTATTACGAAGGTATTTCCTCATGAGCTCCAGACAGTTTACGAACTGCAAACCAAAATTTTTTTAACTCAACATTAACTTAAACTCGTATTACCTTTCCTTTGAAAGCTAATTGTTCTTTGAAATATTGTAGCTCATCAATGCTGAGCACTCGGTCTAACGACTTTTAGCTCGTCATTTAAAGACAGATAAACCTACGTGCTGGCTGTACAATATGGCCAGAATTCTTCATAATAAACTCCTCCCTTTCATTTTACAGCAAGCATGTAAATTTATGTCATTAGATCACTAACATCGGGTCTCGAATTTAGAGCAAAGTACAGGTACTCACCGACTGTGATCTTCCACTTTCAGGAAAGCTCCCCGCAGGCTGCACATGCGACAAGTTGACTCAGCGTTTGCTTGTCGCTTCTTCTGCTCATCAATCCATTTTAAAACCAGCTCAACCTGTTTGACTTGAACTCCCCACGTCTGTGCATTGGTCAAGACATCAGTACTCTTGACTGCGCGCTTCTCTTGCTTAACTGACTTTTGGAGCATGGCTTGAGCACGAGTTTGCTACGAGAAAGAAGGAAATCGGTTTATTAGTTGCGATTTAAGTGACTACAGAGTAATATTCATTATTGTTTCCTGGATTTGCTAAGGCTGAGGGTTTTCAATCGATTGACTTAAAAAACACGTAACTTTTTCCACCAATTAAGAAAAAATAAAGAAAATAAAAAAATTTGAACCAATGTAAACGACACTATTTCCTGCTCGAAGTCGCTAAGGTTTTTTGTATCATTTTTTTGTATCAGTCCTAAAGGGCATCTTCCGAAATGTCCCTTTGTTCTGATTAGCTTTAGCATGGCTTCGGTTTTGGTTTCATGAGACTCAATCAGAAAGATCCCGCTTATTTACTGATTACAAAAGATGTAAACAATACATAAAACTTACCCCCCGAAGTCTCGATAAGGCAAAGTCAGTGGATTCTTTCTTTTGAGACGTTTGGCGGAGCGATGTTATCGGCTGGTCTGTCACAACGCAGGAGAGATCCTTACTCAGAAATTTCTCGACCACCTAAAGAAAAAAAAATGGAGTTGGACCCGTTACTCTGTTAATCTCCGATTCTGGTTTGTGCTTAAACGCGAAAATGTCGCTTCAAACCATCAAAAATGCAAACAAACTTTACTAGTCACGTACAAGCATTCAGCCCTCCCCGCTATGAAACCTGTTCTAATCGCTAACATGTGGTAAACATGGATACTCACCCCTCCCAGCTCCTTGATTTTCTTTTCCACTTCCCTCGCTTTAACTGCTGACCGTACGTGAATGAAAAATGTTTTTCCTTGAAGCGAGGTGACAGGGTATTGCAAGCGACGGCGACTACGTACTTCAGGAGCTAAAGTAATGAAAAGAAAGCAGAGAAGTGTTCCTTGTGAGAAAAAGTGTGAGGAAACCTAAATTATAAGCAAACTTAACCCTTCTAATGTGAATTTTTTTTCTTGTTCAAAGCGTCGAAGAGGGAAAAGCGTCAAAGAGATCAATCTTCATTGACCTAAAACAGGATGAATGGTTGAAAACATCAATAAATTCAGCGCAGGATGGAATCCAATTAGACGAGAAACAATCAAGCATACCCTCATCCTTTCTGATGATGTCTAGACAGCAATTTAGTTTCATTGACCAATGCTACCTTAAAATCAATTAGCGAACGATAAAGCTTGAAAATTGCGCAGCTTTTTTTTAACGAAGGAATCAAACAACTAGATTGCTTCGGAAACTTCCGGCAGACAGTGAAACATTATGTCTTAAAACGATCAATGAGGTATAACTTACCTTTGTCTTTGAGTCTTGCTCCTCTCGTTCCCTTTGATCCAGAACTCATCTTCCAGCTACTTCTTTCTTGAACTATGAACTGTTGTCACTCTCTGCTCACCACTACTGATATGTTTACTATGAATAAGCCTGTCCTTTTAAGTCGCGCGGTCATTAATTGACGCTAATCGATAATGACGTCATAATCGGCGGTAATAAATCGCGCAAGTTTGTCGGCCGCCGAAAAAGGCGGTGTGGGGCCGTCACGTGTTTGATTTATACCGCCATGTACATCAAACCGTTAAAAACTTATCGACTGCAACAAAATAAATGCATCGTTGTTAGGGGTCGTTTAGGATTCATTGATTTCTTCTGTAAGAAGACTTCACATTTTAGATATGCGGAAAGAGCAACATATGGGGATTGCCTTTTGTGCGGGTACGACATTGATGACAGAAAAAAAAACGCGAGAGCAGGTGGCATTTTGTTTCAAGTAGAACCCACCTGAGAGAAGAATACAAAAAGTCCCTCCTTCCCAGCAAAAGAAAGATTTGAACGAAGAAATAAATCGTAGCCTCAGACCGCGCGTAGACCTTTTTTTTTTACCAACAATTTTTCTCTTTTCTCTTTTTCGCGATGGACTAAGCTGGGAAAAAGGCCAAAAGGAAAAACTGTACGAGCCTACACTAAGAGTCACCTAAAACACAGAGCACATTTAAAATAAATCCTTGAAACATCCAACCGTTAGTCAGCCAATGGAGGGCTCTTAGCCGCGGTGAGCGAAAAAGCACACGAAAAGTGGTAAGCAAGCAGACGAGGCGGTTGCAGTGGTCAAGGAAACAGCTGCTTTCTTTTTCCTCCCGCTAATTTCGCGAACGCACTAACTGAAAGCCTAGAACAGGCTAACCATTACAAAACTGCAACTATCAGAGAACAACGAACAACAGGAACAATGAGCACCAGAGAAATATTTCCGGCACTATTTACAGAAAGAACCGACAAAAGCGTATACCCCCTCGACTAAAAAGAGGATTTTTGTGATAAAAAGTAAATTGATGCGAGAAACTCTTAAATGTGTGTCTGTGACCATAGATATTTCTATTTCGATAGTTACCTCTCTTACCTTTGATATCATAACCAATAAACAGCTTTTTATTAATCACTCTTTAAATAGTTTCAATAAGGCTTTTATTTGTTATTCTCATCCGGAGTAAATGGCGGCTTTACCTGAATGACACACGTTGCTTTCTTCGTATGCATTAGTTTCCGAGGCTTTCTTTTGCTTCGTATAAAACATTTGCGAGCAGTTTCTCAGGAAATGTCTTACAAACTAGAACGTTCATTCAAATCATCAATATTAAGTCTCTTTAGTCCTTCGATCGTTACCAGCCTCCTTTCTTTTTCTTGGTTCGCTGTTTCTTCTTGGCAGCCTGGGGCTGCTGTTGCCGAGGCGGCACTACGTTCGCGGTACTACCCGACGCAGAGGGGGTACCAGGAGGAGAAGCGGGCTTAGGACTACCGGGTGTTTTAGGACTGGATGAACTACAGAAGAAAGAAAGAAAGAAAGAAAAAACCAATTGGATGAACCACAGAAGAAGGAAAGAAAAAACAAAATATAGCAGTTGATTAATGAAAGAACCAAAGCTGTTCAACATCCTTTAGACTAGTTCACTTAGTGCTGAAACCTTGTCTAGTGACTGTTGGGCAAGGTTTCTGTGAACCTATTTGAGATAGCAGGTAATTTAGTTTTAACAACTGAGTTGAAAACGAAAATTGGCCACCGTAAAGAGTTAAAGGCTGACGTCTCGAGCGTTAGCGCTCTATACTCTCCCACCGACGCAGCACCACAGTTTCTTTAGAAACTTACTCCCTTTATCTATTTGAGATAGTTTGACTCAAACGGATGAATCTTCTTGTTTTACCACTGTATCTTTAGACTGTCCGTGGATCCCGCTTAAATTTTAGGGAGGTAACCAGCGTCGTTTTACAGTATTACAAGAAGATTGTCTGCATGATCATTTGGGTAATTCAGTATGGCGCAAAATAATTATGTCTAGTCCCTAGTTGCTGCTTTGACTTTTGAAAATAACTTCCTCTTTATCAAAATTTACCGTTGAAAAAAATGATCCTCAAAGCATCGATCAATCTTAGTTCACATAGTAACTAGTGAAAACTATTTTATCAGAGAGCTGATCACAATCTGTGAAAAACTTTTCCGTTTTACAGATATTCCAACCCACTGTCTGTAACTTTTTCAAATAGAAAAAAAACATTATTTGAGGCTGAAACAAACCATTATTAAAAAAAACCTTTGAAGTCTGAACAATAAACACCCCAATTTATATGGTAATGTTATTGACTTTCCATGAGGCTTTTGAGCGAAATGAAGGCTTTGATTCTTGGCCACCCATTGCAAATGAGGATCTATTTTGTGATTGCATGGCATGATATCAGTCTTTTGTTTCCATATTTCCTTTCATCTCTTAAAAATAATTAAAGCATTGAGCGTGGAACTTACGCGTCTGAGGGAGCTGCAGCACCTTGTGTTCCTTTGCCTGTCATACACAGCAAAAATCAAATGTTACTTACAGCTGTATGCACAGCACTGGCAACAATATTAGGGGGTAGGAGGCGTAAAGGTTGTGACAGAGAAGGGCAGTATTCACTGACCCCAGTAGCAAAAGGATCACCATGGCAACTGAGCGAAGCCTATCTTCGGTCACCCGTCAACACAACATTAAAAAACCAGTGCGTGGAATGAATATATACCCAGATTGGGAAAGGGGAAAACGGAAAAACAATTTAAGCGGAAAAGCTGGAAGACAGTGTCCTTCAAATTTCCCTCGAGCCCCACAACATAGTGGTATAACCACAGCATGGACTTGGTTCTAACATCGCCAGAAAAAGCCGAAAGACGCATGCGCAGGCTTGAACACTCTCATTTCACCTTTGAACACTTCGCAAAATTTAGTCGCAAACCGTTGCAGTTCGATCGCGAAAACTCAAAGTGTGTAAGCTGTACTGGGCGGTCCTCAGCGACTGTTGTCAGCTTTCGTTTGCAAGAAAGCCATAGAGTGGATGGCAAATATATAATAATTGTTTGGTGTTGCTCATAAAAGTTCGTGATATACGCAGACATCATTCAGCTGTTCCCAAATGCAAATTACATCTAGCAACGCTAATAAGTTTGCACTTGTCAAAGGAAAAATTTTCGGATGCTTACTTAACCCTTTAACCCTTAAGAGTGATTAGCATCTAATTTCTCCTTACAACATCACCCCCCAAATCACACATACAAGTCACAAGAAAAAAGGAGATGATCACCAATGATAGAAGCTCTAGATTGTTAGACAAATTCTCCTTGTCAGCACCTTAGGAAATGTATTGAGAAAAGTATGGAGAATATATCTACTGATGTGAGGGTGTGAAGGGTTGAGTTAGAAACCTTGTAGTTCATTAGTCTGAAAATCTGGTCAGTCAGCTTTTGAACAAGGAAATGTAGTAGAATAAAAATGTTTCATATGCTTCCATCCCAGCTGCCCAGGAAATCTTTGAACTTTCCAGTGAAAATGCCGCTCAAGGACTGGTGACGCCATTACACCCTCTGCTTCCAAACCAACGCAGAGAAACGGGTAATCCATAGAAAAACGTTAACGATCTTTGACGCTCTCGTTCACCTTCAATATCCCATACAGAGTCACCAGTGCAAACCCGTTAGCATATTTTTTCTTTTCGTTCTGAAGACAAACAAGCCACAGGCAACCTACCTACTGAGGCACCCTTCTTCTGCCTTTTACCCTTGTAGTACGTCCGTTCTCTTTTCGGTATCCAGCGTTCGGGATCTGGATCGACCTCGGCGTTGTAGTTTTTCGGTAGTTTACCTGGGTAACCAGAAGGAACATTCAAACCAAACGGAAAGAGTGAATGAAGAAGAAATAGGGAGGATAAAAATACACTGAGTGTTGATTATTGATGACCAAAAGAAAAAAAAACCGAGTCAGATCCTTTCGTTTCACTAACATTCAACAAAACAGTGAGCCATATAACCTTCCTGATCACTCATAGGGCAAGTGTTGCCTTTCTGTCAGTATCGAGTACAAAACGTGTATCAGTATACCTCTCTTCCGCTTTCTCTTCCGTCTTTTTACGAAACTTTCTTTCCTGTAAAATAGCAATAAAAAGACGTATATAGTTGATATTCAATGAAAAAGGACTTTGGTTGTTTGATGCGAGATAAGGTTAAATCAGGACTGTTTTCGACCTAACAACTATCATCAGTTCTCAGTAAGTATTGTTGTTGCATTTTTTTTTTGCCGAGAAGTTGCATAGAGAAATTGAGAATAAGCTCTGGTTATAGACAGAAATTAAGACGCCTCATTACTTACGTCAAATCCACCATTTCTGTATCGCCACCCTCTTGTTTCATTCTTGCCCGACCGTATCGAGATCCCATGGTACTCAGCGACATCTCCAACTCCTCCACGTTTATAGATGAACTCTGAGCCTGCGTGTCCAGCGGCTTGAGTTTTTCACTGTAACTGTATTGAACATGCAGTTAAGGAAAGGTAACTGAAATTAAGCTGTGCTGTCATTTGATCTTCTCTTGAGAGGATTTACGGGGTTGTGGAATAACCTAGTTTTAGCAGGACCTTGAAGACAACCTTGCAAGAAGCACCGACGAGGTTTGACTCTATCATGCAATCGGAAGTGCAAACGACAGAGCTGAAAGAAATGCACCCATGTGAAAACTTTTAGAGCTCTCGAAGGAAACCATCGGAACACTATGGTAAAATGACGGAATTTTGGAAAAATTGGAAAAGCAGCCAGGTTTTCTGCTCTGATGAAAACGAAGTTAAACGGTTGAGCTCTGAACTGTCGCTGCGGGCCGTCGTCTTACAGCACGGAACAACACAGAACAGTACAGAACAACACAGAACAGTGCAGAACAGCACAGGGCAGCACAGAACAACACAGCTTCATCCTTGAAGGAAGTAATGAAGCGTTACCCTCTTTTAATTCTATGCACAGTGTACCTAAATAATTTAGTTATTGATCACTCGGCAACAACACTACAAGTAATCTCTCTCTCAATCATGTCGA